TAGATATTAAGTTAATGATGGCAAGTTGTAGTGTTAAATGGTGTTGAAAAAATTCCAGAACATTAAATTATAAGAAAGATGGTATAACTTTTCATCAGTAATGTAAATTTTAATGTTTTTTTTTTTATCTCGCGGAGTTCAAGTTATAGTGGACAATTAAAGGTACTTTATAAAAATGCAGCATGCTTTGATGTCTTCTTGAAACACATCCCTTTCTCTCATTACGAAATTAGTCAATTTCGGTCACAAATGTCCTCTACATCGAATTGCATGCATGTAGTCTGAAGCGATATTCAATTGTATGAGGGTTCGACCGACTGGATTTACTTTTGCGCTTATCTCATATGCACGGGTATACTAATATTACCAAATCATCAAATTTGAAAAGAAATGGCATTATCTTTGCTACGAGGGTCAAACTGAAAGTTCTTAGAACTGGCCACTTATAAACAATATAATAAAAAAATAATTCTAAAATTTGAAAATATAACTCTTTGCCAATATTACTGAGTATATATTTCATTCATTTGTCATTTGTTTTACGATTTGGCGGCAAATTGAAAATTGTCTGTGTCACGTCATCATGAATTTAACACGAGAAAATTTTCGTGCAATGATTTTTTATGACTTTCGATGTCATTTAAGTCAACAAGAAAGTTATGATAGACTACGATTGGCCTTTCACGATGAAGCCCCATCTCGTGCGACTGTTTACAACTGGTTTAATGAGTTTAAACGTGGTCGCACTAATCTCACTGATGATTTACGTGAGGGACGGCCTTCTACGGCGACGACTGACGATAACATCTGTGTTGTGCGGCGTATGATAGAGACTGACAAAAGAGTGACCTATCAACAGATTCGGACAAGCTTAGGCATCGGTATGAGTCAAGTGCACAAAATCCTCCACGAACATTTAGCGGTCAGGAAGCTTTGCGCCCGGTGGATACCTCATAATTTGACTGAGGCTCAAAAACTCCATCGTGTGGATTGGTGTCGTAAAATGATTGAAAGATTTAACGGAGGTGACTCAAATGCTGTGTTCGACATACTAACAGGTGACGAAAGCTGGATTTACTGTTATGATCCTAAAACCAAAAGACAATCTGCTCAGTGGGTGTTTCCTTTCGAGGAGTTGCCAACTAAAGTGAAGAGAGATCGAAGTGCGGGAAAAAAAATGGTGGCCTCGTTCTTTGGAAGGATAGGTCATTTTGCAACAATTGTGTTAGAGGATCAAAAAACAGTTTCTGCAGAATGGTACACTACCAATTGTTTGCCACTTGTCTTGGAAAAAGTTCGAGAGAAACGACCTCGCAGTAGGATCCTCCTTCACCACGACAACGCCTCGTCGCACACCGCCAAGCGAACGATCGACTATTTGGCGACATCAAACGTTGAATTACTGGGTCACCCGCCGTATAGCCCCGACCTCGCGCCTTGTGATTTTTATTTATTTCCAAAAATTAAAGAAAAACTTAAAGGAAAGCGGTTTATGAATGCTGAAGAAGCGGTGGCTGCGTATCGCGATGCCATTGAAGAGACCCCTAAGGACGAGTGGGCAAAGTGCTTTTCCCAGTGGTTCCATCGCATGCAGCGGTGTATTGACGTGAATGGACAATATTTTGAAAAGATATAATAAAACTAATAACTGGCTAATGTAATCAGTTTTTGATTTTCTAAGAACTTTCAGTTTGACCCTCGTATATAATAACTGACAAGCTCGATGATGGAGTGGTTAGTGTGATTGATCTGCGGTTGCGGAGGTTACACGACGATCGCAAAGGCCGTTAAAAACGGACCCATCGTTGTCCCAGTACGAACTACTTGTACACGTGTACGCAAAATCGTAACACACATACTTTAATTCGGTAAATTAATTAATTCTTAAATAAAAATATATTGCATTTAGAAAAAAATGTTGTATTATATTACAGATGATCCGTTAACCTAGACTAGACTTATTGAAGATCCAGTGGCGTAGCTACCAAGGGGCTAGGCGGGGCAGTGCCCCGGGGCCCTCAAGCTCAGGGGGCCCTCGAATCTTTACCAGAAAATCTCAATCGAACTCAACTTTTGAAAATATCTCCCATTTTCAAAATAAATATGACAGGTGACAACTCGAGTTCAATCATGGCAACTCAGTTGTGAGAAAATCCAAAGTTATAAAAAGGGAATTCCCCTAAATTATTTGTGTGGGTTGGCAGTGTTATTAATCTTTTCATCAATTTGTCGGATATCAATATCTGCATATTATTATATATCGATAGGCGTTTTTGTGATTCGCGATTGTGAATTTCGAGTCAAGATATTTTTTTCGAGAATGGTTAAAAAGTTAATGTATCAGGAGTAAGTAAGCGTATGTCAATACATTTTTTTTTCAATTATTATATTTCTACTGATAATTTTTGTAAATAATTTGCATGGCGATAGGTTAAATAACAGTTAGCTGGTGCAACGTATCTATGAATAAATAAATATATAATAAACCCTTGAATCTTTTCTATTTCGTTTTATTGCCCAATACTTACATCAAGTATAAAAATAATTGTAATTTATGTTGTTAGTGTTTTATTACCTGCCCATACACGAAAAAGAGCTGTTGATAAAGTTGCTTAGCATTTTTAAAGTATTTGTATATTTAATGATTTTATTTCAAAAAACCTTACCAGTTTTGATAGCAGTGGGCCCCATTTTTTATTTGCCCCAGGGCCCTAGGTTACCTAGCTACGCCACTGTGAAGATCCGTAACAGATCTCCAAATAATTGCATCGCGCTCCATTGAGTCATAAGCAAAGAGTCTTGGGATGAGGAGGTCTCATACCTCCTCATCCCAAGCTACTAGCTAGTTGCATAAAGCTTGTATCAAGCACCAACAGAATTTACATCTGCTAGACATCAAGATAAGAGCCTAGTGAGTCTCAAAAATTTCTCATAGAGTACCTACTCAGTAAGGAACTACGTTAGAGGAAAAGTAACTTGCATTCCACACCTACTGTTTTATTATACCAATAATTTCCCATAGAGTAGGTACCTATTCAGTACTACTACTAGAGGAATAGTAATTTGCATTCCACACTTACTACTTGACAACGAATTCACGTGGGAAAATCATCGTAGAATAGTTTTGTTTCTTCTTTTCTGAAACAGTATATGTACTGTAATGAGTAGAATCATAGCCCGAAAATTATGGAGATGAATTTTTTTGTTACTGATGGTATTGTTAGGGAGTCAAAGAAAAATGTACTGGGAAAGAACTCGAAAGAAAGACAACCTTATTATTACTATACCTTACTATATATTATTATTGATAATTACAATTGGTTTAGGTCGTATTTTATACATACAATTTATACCTACTGTACCCTATATAGTATGCCCCCCATTTAGTGATTAAGAGTTTTCATAGGAGCTTTTTTGGTGAAGGAAAAACGGGATATTCCTATATGGTCCAATAAAAAGCTAAATTCTTTTATTATTTTTTTATTTATTAACGTTATTTCCATGACATACAGTATTTCCATGACATACTACTACTACTATAAATTATGATCATATCACATATAAACTCGAATGAATACTTATTTACCTATTGTCCTTATTTTATGTTAGTTTTTAATTCTATTTGTCGAGGTAGTGCTAATGAAAAAAGAAATTAGATAACAACAAAAAACATCAATTTCTACAGTATATTTTGAACTTTTTCTTGGTCCATCAAAGTTTAAAATAGTAAAAAATAACGAATAAAGATAGATTTGTTTATACCTTCTTGTATAATATTTTATATTACTATTAAAAGATGCTTATAAGTATGATATTAAAAGATATCATCAGTGCTTCAATAAACACATACTTTTGTATACAGAAATGATCATATTGCCTACCTACACTGTTTTATAAGAACAAAAGTTTTCTACCAGTTTCACACATTATGGCGGTACTACTTTACTCAAATCAAAAGTTTAGTACCGCGTAACAATATTTTACAAATGACTTTCTGATCAATTACCTTCTAGTGTCTAAAATTAAATATAAATATACTAGCAGACTCAATATTCAATAAATAGTCCTTATTTCTAAGACTTAAGTTCTATATTACTATAACAACCCCTTCCTCAACCCATATCCAGCCGCTCTGCAGCTGTTTTCTTCAATAAAATTCAATAGCACCACCTCAAATTGCAAGTACAATAAATGCGTACTTCATTATTCTAAATAAATAAATACAGAATTTATTTAAAAATAATTATATAAAACTAAAGTAGAAAAGCTTTGGAAATAAGCACGCTTTCAAGTACATACAGTACAGTCTTATAAGTATTTAAATTTAAGTACTTGGCTATTTAGAATATTCCATAAGTAGCGGATATATATTTCAATTAATGTAGTATCATTAAAAAAAATTAACATTGAAGTTTAAGCAACATTTTCTAATATGATATCATCTCTCTAGTAATATTTGTGAACAATATATAAGTATAATAACTTGGTGTTTCCCAAACTTTTAAATAATGCAACACCCACTGAAACGTTATGGAATCCCGTAATGATTATGAATCAAATTCTTTGTAATTTATATCAGAGGTGCGACTGCTTAACTATCTAGCCGTAGGTTATGAATGTTTAGCGATAATATTCGCTGATAGCAATAAAATGAAACGAAGCAGTGCTATAACATCTTTAAAATGTCTTTTCAAATGGCTAGAATTATGGTTAAGCAATGGCAGAACGAAAACCTTTTTATTAATCTTTATGCGTTGCCTTTGCCTCGAACTTTTACGCTATTTCGTATCAGTAATGACATACGAAAATAAATAACTTTGTGAAACCCCTTTTCTACGAAACTATTAGATTCTGTGGAACCCACCTACTCCCAAAGAAATGGTGAACGCGATAACAATGGCGCGCTCACATTCGAATAAGTTTCGTTTACATAAATATTGCGACGGATTAACTCAACTGATTTTCATGGAACTAGATATTTCAAAATAACCGAATATAGTCTAAAAGGCTCGAGAGTAGGGCCAATTGTTGCTGGAAGACGAATGGTGATCTAAATAAGGACTGTCAGTAAGCAGAAGTTTGCTACCGCTAAGGCCTGAAGTAGAACTTTCACTAGATGAGAACATACTTTTGCTTCCAGTATAGAACGATAATGATGTATGAAGTGGTTCTCTACCTAACCGTCGTCTTGCTCTTATTAAAGAAATAAACGCTACGGCGATAGCGCACAGGAATATGACACCTAAGATGCAGAAGGCTAAAGCCATTTTTCCTGGAGATAAACAGATAGTCTTTTCTCCTGGAGAGAAACCTCTGACGAACTGATCTTCGGCCTCCAGTCGTCGTGAACCTGTAAAGTAAAAAATTCAGATAAATACCTACTAAATATTTGATTTTATAGATTTCGCTATCTAAGTATAGGTATTCTTTGTAGAAAAACTGGGGGGTCACCATCACCTCTTAAAGCAATGTTTATTCCGTGCTACGAGCAGGTCAACGCTATAAGCAACAATAGCGGTCTCGCTCGCTGCACAGATTAAAAATTGCTATGGAAAGCTGCCCTGAGACATGAGTGTCTTTCAATATCACCTGTCGCTAATATGATCTAGGTATATGATGAAAGGTGCATCTTAGTCTCCTCTTTATTTTAATAATGTTTATTCAGTCTAAATTGTTACAAGCACTTGTGAAAGTCAAGAGCTAAACCGTTGGTTCGCAAATCTACTGAGAAGAACTAAGAAGCAAGAACCTCAGCAAGAGCTGCTTGTTATAAGCAGTTTTATTTCATACAGAGGAGTCCAATTGGAAAGTTACTTCATAAGACTATGAAGTCACTTTTCATTACAATATTGAAACTAGAAAATAAATATTTCTAAGATTAACTTTTCGACAATCGATTAATATCCCGAGACGATGAAAAATATCATCAGCAGTAAAGAAGTTTTGTTTTTGTTACGTACCTCTAATAGAAGCTTCGTCTTCCAACTCTATGTTTGGTGCTAGTACTTCTATGCTGTTATAAACCTCTAGTCTGTCTATAACTACACCTTTCGCGTCTTTGTCTAATCGGGCTTTTCTTACTAAACCATCTTTTGTTTGCTGCGGCTTCTGCAGCATTTTACAGTCTATCGGTGGACAGTGGCCTTTACAAAGTTCTATACCACAAGTTAAATGCAGCTTCGATCTATCGGGAAACTTGAATGCAGCAAATGTTGTAATAGCATGTTGATACGTCATTATATTCTTTAACATATAATCAGGATCTGTCTTCAATAGTTTGATATTACTGCTCTCTTCGATGTTTCGCAGAGTATCAGCTGGTTCCAAATCTGAGAAGTCAATCTCGGTGCTTTTGTGCTTGTGTTTGTGAATATTTGGCTTGCTGAATATGGTGTCGTCTATGGGGCAGCCGGCTTCGTCTAGAAGCTTTTGTGATGCTTCGCCGAGGCCGTCGTGTGCAACGCAATTAGTTACACGAAGGCCGACCCCAACTGTGGAAAAAAAATTATATTATGTATTAATTGTATTCATTCATGAAAAATATTATGTATTCATTGAGTAATTGAGTAAAAATAGTCAAGTATATTTGCAGGTATTTATAAATTACTTAGACGAAATGTAGAAGCTAGAGTTGTTTCATAAATCATAATTCTTTGTTTCGTATGTACAGTGATAAACAAAATAGCCGAGACGCTCGAATGCTTATATTCAGATGTAGTCACCATCTCTGAGGTTCTTGAGAAAATAAATTATAATTCTATATTGACTCGGGACGGGGTTTCGTGTTACCTTCGATGTTTCGGATTTTTATAATAGAAGTTCTTGAAGAACTTAAGTGAAATTTGATCAATATTGTGATGTTCTAATATTTAATCAAATAAAATAAACAGAAGGAGCGGTGATATTGATATACGTGTGCCAACCGCTTAACGTGCCTTCCGAAGCACGGAAAAGCTCGAGAAAATATACTTTTGGTCACCCATCCTAAAACCGTTCTTAGCAAAACTTGCTTAACTTCAGCAACGCAGACTGAACGCACTAACCAGATGCAGCTGGAACCAACCACTTTACATGTCTTCCGAAGTACAGAACAGCTCGAGAAAATATACTTTTGGTATCCTTATTGTTCTATTTTTCTCATTCGTTCCAGTTCTCGCATTTGCTTTCTTTCATTCCTCATACTTTATCTTTCTTTTGTCCTTCCATTTTCATTCTTACGGCTGGGATTGCCGGTCCTAGGCTATTCTACTCTACTCGATTCTTTATTTATCTTATTTATTTATTTGGGTTTGAACAACAATATACAAATTTCTTTATTATTAAATAGTGAGCTTTTTCTATATTACATTTTTCTATCTATATCTTATCCTGTTTCATTTCAATTTCCTTATCTACCTCCTTTTTACATTTCCAAATTTACTAGACATAAAACGATTATTTTATGCTATTTATATTATACAATAGTCAATGTTAAAATGGTAATAAATAATATGTACCTGGTAAGGTGCACTGTATGAGTAGCCTAGTGGGTTGTCCCACCTCGACGGTGGCGGGGTCGGGCGTGGTGGCGGCGGGCGACAGCTCCATCCAGGCGCGCGTCGCCTCCACCAACTGCTCGCGCTGCGACCACATCGCACCACCCTCGAACCCCTGACGATTACGACCGGTCCTAAAAGAACATCACATCACATTGTAAATACTACTCGTATAAAATAACACACCATCAAACGAGCTGTTCCTACGAAAACGAATTTTTGGTATATTTTTGAGTTGCTAATACGACTCCAAAGGAATGCATTTTTCGATAACTTATGATGCAACGGAGGTAAGACTAGACATTGCCCCTGATGCGCAGATCAGATGATTTATAAGAAAGACGTGAAATTTTCCGAAATTACGTTCGAGGACAAATAGAAGAGGGCGCGTCAATTCGTAAGAGTTATATATAACAAACAGATTTGTAATGTATGTTGAAGGCTAGTTGACAATATTTTTGATTATTTTATAAATGAATAGTTCATTAATATCTGAGAAATAATGTAGAAGTAACTGTATGTCTGCGGTTAATAGTTTCGGAGATACGGTGCTATGTTTGTGGAACTGCTGTTAGCCGGCAGAAACGCTCCCTACAAATTTAATGCACTAAGTGACGTCACACGGTGCTGGCGAAAAGCATATGGGCGTCTGGGTAATCTTTGCAATATTTTTGCTATTGCGTTTATGTTTAAAACTGTAATAATGAAAGTTGACAACCCATTTAAATTGTACAAAATTAAAACAATATTAAATGTTTTAAAAAAAGCAACCCACGACAGATGTAGTAGTTATAATTGAAAAATTAATAGTTTTTATTTTAGATTTTATTATTATGTAATATTACATACCGTATTTTCTTTGTATCTTGACCAACTAACTCACGAATTTTTGACTGTATGATGCCTTCTAAAGCTGTACTAATTATGCGAACGGCTTTAGGCTGTAGTCTGCACCTGAAAACATTGAAAGAAAGCTTAATGTGTGCCTATAAATAAACAAGTATAACAGAATTAAGAATCATATACCTAATTCCTAATGTGAGTGTTATTGAGGAGTCATTGGAAATTATTTAGATGAAGATATTTATGAAAAAAAAATTATATTAAGATGAAAAATCCTTAAAAAATCCACTCTGTCCCTGGCACGCTGGGATGAGACTCAAACCGACGACCTTTCGAAATTCGAGCGACTGGTCTAACCAATGAGCTACCCAGGACCTAACAGGCCTGACGAATTTTTTGAGCACTTGTTTCTTTTTCGCTACTACATAGCGTATTTTAATCAATATTCAGGCAATCCATAAAAATCAATTCGACATCCGTAGCCGAGTGGTTCGCACACCGGTTTCAAGGTGTCGCCAGTTCGATTCCCGGTCGGATCAATGTAGAAAAATTAACATTTCTATATTGGCTCGGGTCTAGGTGTTGTAATGCCTTCGTTGTATTCAGATACTCCATAATACGGGGGCTTTAGCTACTCACCTTGGAATTTGAGCAATGTAAGTGATGTTGTTTAATATTAATCCAACCAAACAGCGAATAGAAATATAATAGAGTAATAATACTTTCGATAAAGATGAAAATTTGTTCTTATTATTTAATCAATTTAGCATTGACAATGCTATACTGAAAAATATAGGTATATCAAAAAGTGATTTCATGATTCTTTTTCGTGTATTTTTCTTTTGGTCATAAAATGAGACGGGGAATTTTCATAATGTCTTTTGCAAAACTAAGTGTTGGTATTTCATCATTGCATTGCACTTAAACACGTACACCATTAATACTGTAAGGTATTCTTAAAAACAGTGTCATTTCATAGATCTAGTCGACATTATGTTAAAGGGGGGAAATAAATAAAATTTATAAAGACTACCTGACTAGTAGCTCTTGGTCAGAAGATTGCTGAAGCTTACTATCCATTTGTACCACCAGATCGACGCTGTAGAATAGATCCTCGTCATCATCTGGTTCTGCTGCCGTTTCGTTTAGTGGAGATGTCCTCACACCGCATGCGTTCGATGGTAGGTGAAGAGACACTTTTTCTTTCAAGTTTCCTAAAACAATTAAGGCGTTTTTATGTTATTTATTAGTTTCATCACCATCATCTCCAATCTAATATCCCCACTGCTGGGGTACAGGCCTCTCCTATGGATGGAATCGAATAGGGAGAATGGGCCATGATACACCACGCGGGCCCAATAGGTATTTTTGGATGTTAGCAACTTACTTGCAGCCGGTACCAGCAGCTTAACGTGCCTTCGGAAGCAATGACGAATAATAATAATATAATAATCATTTATTTTGCTAGAAACATGGTTACATAGATGTTAGGATAGGGTACACTGGTCAGCATATTTCGCTAAATATTCAGCATGCAAAATATAAAAATGTCAAAGTTAATCAATGTCAAAGTTATCCTATGTCTACAATTACCGAACACAACAAATAATGTAAAAATTTGCAAATTGTAAATTATGTCATAATCAAGCAGAATCAATATTAAGTCATTATTACTGTCATTACTAAGTCATTATTAATGTTTAGTTGCATTAATTATTATTTATTCATAAATTCTTTAATTGAATAAAAACATCTATCACAGAGCCATTCGGTAAGTTGCCTTTTAAAATAATTAAATGGAAGTTCTCTTATGTTCCTTGGAATTCTATTATATATTTTTACTAACATAAAAGAACTATTTCTGTTGTAAATGTCACTTACACATCTGGGTAGTAATAATTTGGTTGGGTCTCTAGATGGATACTCATTAAAACTGGAAGCTTTTTGGAATAAATTAGCATATTTTCTCACAAAAATACCTACCTCCAAAATATAAAAACCTGTGACTGTCAGTAACTTAAGCTTTTTAAATAAAGGTTTAAATGAAACCAAAGGCCCAGCACCACATATTGCTATAATACACTTTTTTTGTGTTATAAAAACTTTATTTATATCAGTTAATACATACATCGTGATAATACATTTTTGGTCTCTAATCCTATGTCCGGCCATTGCGAAAGTTGCTTGACTAGCGCATGGCACATCGAGCGCGTTAACCACTGCATCATTCTATTAGTTATAAAAATAAAATAATAGGGCCCCGTAAATATAAAAAGGTGAAAAAGAACAAGCTATTCAAGTGAATTAATTTCTTAACACTAGACCCTATTCATTGCGATTCCCTTGGTAAGCTACCATATATCTTTTAATTACGTTGAAATGGAAATTTCCACATCTTCCCATGAGATTAGAGACCTAAATATTTGATACATATTAATTGCACTTGATAGCTTTATGCGTTCCTGAAAAAAGAAACAGAGAGACGGGCAATAAACAAATCCTATAAAAGTTAGTTTCTAAGTTAACGCTTTTGAGTAACGGGTTCCTAAAAAGAATAAAATCAGTCCTTCTAAAGTATCTTTTTCTCTGTTTAGTACCAATTATATTTGTGTTCGACCAAGCATGAAAGCTATTTCATAACTTCTCTGCAATTATAACAGGAAAAGTAAAATTGATGACCTCTTGCAGGCGGGCTAGTGCTCCGGCTAATCAGTATTGTGCCGTGACATCGAAATTTTATGCTGACTTTACGCTTATCAATCGTGTCGACCATAGAGTTTTTTCTGTTTAACAATGTGAAATATAAATCTGTCTTAATTAAAGAGAAAAAGGACAAATTTATTTATCGCTCATCGAAACCTTCGGCTCTGTCAACGTGATGATAAAGATTCGTTATATGTGTAGGAATTAAAAAGGATTTTATGGAACACCTATATAATGAGGAGCTAGAACTCGTACGAATTAACATGAAGGGTTTATTCTTTTTGTCCTCGAACGAAAATACGTTAAAATCATATTCATGACGATTGTCTATTACCTCCGTTGCATCATAAATTATCAGAAAATGCGTTTCTTTGAAGTCGTATAAGCATTTCGTAAATAGATGAAATTATGTTTTCATAGAAATAGAATAGGCCTTGTGTTTTTTATTCGTACGAATAGTGTATGTGCTGTGGCATAGATTTGTATATGGATTTATTATATTCGGACAAATTGATGGTAGCTGTTTGGTAGAAGGCTGTTTGCTATAAGGTCACACGAGGCTTCATTTTAGTGTGAGTCCATTGACAAAAAGATGCCACTGTATGACGGTGTGCATATTATATTTTATTTCTACGAAAACGAAATTTCGTCTATTTTCGAAATGCCAATACGACCCCAAAGAAAACGCATTTTCCGATAATTTATACTGCCTTTGATGCATTGACCTAGTAGCTCAGAGTGAGCACATAGTTCTTTTATACCTTGAACTCTGCATTCTCTCGAGAAGTCTTTGCTGAAGATGATGCCTTTGAATGGTTGCTCCATGTGTATGGTGGCGATGAGCGCGCCCTTGTCACAGGTGGTGACCACATCCACCACGCGGTTGGGTCTAACTTGACCGGTCACTACAGCAACGTACATACTGCACGCCAGCAGTATTCCGCGCCACATTCTGGCGTGCTCTGAAAAAGGAAAAAATCTTTTTTAAGAATGTATTACAACTGAACCGAAACTGGCTTCGATTTTAATGACATTGGATTCGATCAAAATGCACTCAATGCTCAATACTGAACGTTGATTATATTTGATTAATGTATTTAGCTATATAGTATTGAACGAACCTATGTTAACAAACGAACCTGTGTAAAACAGCCCGTGTTAACATATAACATACTTAAAATCCCATTTAAAGTTTGCCACTGGATAAAGAGACCAGTCAAAACCTGTACTGATAAAATTGAAGCTTATTATCTATAAATGCATAATAAGAATGCGAAGATTAGTTCTAACAAAGTCGTGAAGAATTCTTATTTAAATACTAACGTTCATAGTGCTACGCAGTAACGCATACTTTCTAAACAAGAGCGCTTTGGGAAAAGTTAAAATTTTACGTAAGTTGTTATGATATAATTGGCGATATAGCTTAAACATTTTATGTCTGAAAATAAGCATAACAGCGCTGTGCTTAGTGTAGCCAGGCGTCCGAAGAAAGTCGGACATGAACAACCTTTTTTATTGCATTTGTGGCCAAATTACATGATACTGATTAATGGTTTTTCTAAATTTACCCTTTTTTACCATTACTTATGTTTTATTTTCCACTCCACCCGCTTCATTATAGTATTTCAATAACATTTAAAGAAATTTTATGTGATTGACTTAAATCCATGATTAACTTTAAAAAATGTCACTATGCTAAACTCAAAACATTTAGCGTATTTAGTTATTTACCTAAATATCTAGCTGAACTGGTTGGTCTGACCGGGTTTTTAGTATTAATACCTGGCAACCCTATTGTGCGGTCGGCGACTCGCCGCGGCGCGGTCGTCTCGCTGATGAAGAAGTAATTTTACACTATTTTCTACATTTCACATTCTACTCTTGCCAAGGACGAGGCATTACAATCGGCTATTATGTCATAAAATTTAATAGGTTGTTGTCTGGTAGTGTAATAAAACGGTTAAATTTATGTCACCCTTAAGCTGTAAATGCGTTTGTCCATTATTTATCTAATTTATATTAAATTGTTTTTATTCTTTTTCAACTGTAAATTATCTCGGTGGAGCTCGAACAGCGGTTAATGCGTTCGGTTGCGATGCGGCAGGTAAGCAACTTTCGCAGGCCGATCATTGGATAGGTGACCAAAATATATTATGCTGAGCTCTTCCGTACATCGTAAGGCACGTGAAGCCGTTGATCATGGCTGCATCTGGTGTCATCACATGTGAGAGTGGTTCCGGGAACTCAAAATCTCAAAAGATCGTATCGTATCGTAATCGTAATAGATAGTATCGTATCGTAATCGTAATAGATGTATCGTATCGTGTTCGTAATAGATGGTGTTTGTTATAAGGAAGGCCTGTGCCATAGCAATGGGCATATGAATAGGCTGATAATGATAATGACGATAAAAGTGACTTTATTTTACTTTTAAAATAAAAGCACAGGCGAGGCAATTATAACCCTGTCATAGCTTGTGCTTCATGCCAACAATATAAACGATGTTCACTCTGCTAGAATTTTTAAAAGAAATAAAAACTACTAACGTTTATTATAAATTGATATAACGTTAAAAGATTTCGTTTAAACTATAAATGTAAGAAATTAAACAATAACGGAGACGAGAGAAATTGTATTTGTTTGGGTAATATGCAAAGTTTTGCCGTTAGCACAACCATGATCGCAATTATACAAAAAAAAACATTTTAACAAAGGCACAATATCTCGACGTTTCCATTTCATAACAATCTGCGAGGCCTAGTTGGAAAAAGACTCCATATTGTTGAGATATACCGCTACTTCCGTTCCTAGCCAGTAATCTCTGATAGTCTATTTCGATTAGCCTCACAATTAGACTGTCTGTAGATCCTGGGATGATATTTGTCGACATAGTGGCGAATTAAGTTTTTTAAACAAGCTTCAAAATCGAAACGGAGCAGGTTCTATGATCGACGAGTGTTTACGTTTATTATTATCTAAGTTTATGTTTAACATTTTTTTTATTCGAAAGTTTATAACCTGAGATGGTCTATTTCAAATTAATAAGCCTTATTTTATGTGGAATAACTAAATACGTATGTGGAATACTTTTTTAGATAAAGTATTCTAATGTTAGTCAAGATTACTCTGCCATATATATTCAAGTACCCAAAATTACTAATGAAGGCAGTTCATCTGTATGAAGGCAATAAAACTAATAAACGATTGCGACTTTCATACGGTTTTTATCAATAGCTTAAGCCATTTATTATTATGACTTAGTCTAGTTTTTTAAAGGTTCTGTGTAAATTGACTAAAGTAAGGCATTAACTTACAAAAATATTTTTATAAATATGAATTATCTTAGGTAAAAGTATTACATTTCAAGTATTTTTATCTCTAAGAAAATATGTCATTATAAATAGAAAATTTGTCGGATTTTTACAAATTACATATTGCATTTATAGGAGTATACATCAATATCGGGGTGGAAATCTTAATAACCCGATGATGCTGATGACTAGGAATACTCAACTAAACATCGTGAATAGTTGTGAATGCAATTTAAAAAACATTCCCAAATACAAACGACGATTGGACCATTGTTGGTCCACAATTCAACGGCATATCAATTATAAATTTGGTATCATCACACAAACAATTACATAAACAGCTATGTCACATTGCGCAATCACTAATTAAAGTAATTATAACTGTATACGTAGGTATGTACGAAGTGTGAGACTCCGAGTCCGGTGTAAAGGCACGCCGCGTGTGAATGGTTCGTAAAATTGTTTGGATTCTTTTCGAAATTCTAAGGGTGCTTGACGTTTTATCTACAACAGTAAAACGCGCTTGTCTCATTTTAAATATTTTAGCTTTAATCACGGAAGCGCAGAAATAAATCCACTTGAAATTCAGCTTTTGGCTTAAAATGAAATGTACCTAAATAAGTTTATCTTTCAAATGACGTTGCATTTTTTAATGAAATGCAGACGCTTTTCCCACGGTTCCTTGGATGAATCTCTTTCTGAAATCTTGTATGAATAAAAGTTTTTTTTTATGCGGAATACCTAATATCAAACGAAACCTTTATGCAAAAAGTTTCCTTTTGATTCATTAGTTAATAAATTACTTAATTTAGTGAAGTGAATCGGAATCTAAGAATTCTCTAGTCTACATTTTATTAAACAGATAAAGTCACTATGATGGCAGCACTATTTAGCGCTATTGAAAGTTGAACCGATTTGTTGTAGTTTTCAAAGAACTGTTTTAACATAAATTCTCTGATTCTTTTTGGTTGTATAATATAAATGCCTGCTTAAGCGTTAATGGGCGTAAATACATTACGAATTCAAATAGAAACTCATTATAGCTGACTGACTATTAAATATAAATACGAAAAAAGTTGAATCTCGTTGATGTCTTTTCGTAATGATTGAAAAAATATCATAACTTATTTTTTTATTATTTATCTTTCATGATCCTGTAAATTAGTTTCTGTTGAAGAACTTTACTGTACCACATTCATTTAAAAATAAATTATAAATGTTAAATTTATTGAGAAAATGATACTCGAGATTCCGGCATAAAAATATCAAAAAAATTTTACATTAAGTTGTGTTAATATACATTTATTACACAATCTTCGTAAATTGTGGATTAATAAAAATACTTTTGAATTATTAGTACCTAAATAGATAGCATAACTTTATCAAAAGAGTTCATTAACTTAACAAAAATAACTTTGTGACGTCACATAATTAACTTCAGTGTTTTTTAGGTTAAACGTGGATCTGTAGGTCAAGGCAAGACGTATCGGTGCACGAGCAATCTAACAATAAATCGGTAGTCATGCGATGACCACGCATCTTCGAACATTGGAAGTCATTACGTTCCGTGGATGACGGGCAGGTTCTGCGGGTCTATTTGTGGATCGTTCGCCTTGTCTCGAGCGCTCGTCTTGTCATTGACCTATGATACGAGCAAACGAGGTGTTCTTTGTCGTGCGAAGCTCATAACTAATAAAATTAGGAAATGAAACCATCGTACGATTATTATCACTAAAATTATAGTAGAAAATATCGTGAATAATATATAAGTTTACTTTTCTTTGCGTGAATCGAATAAAAATGAAACGAAGAAAATCAACTTTTCTATATTGTCTCGGGTGTGGGTGTTGTGAGTTGTTACCTTCGTTACCTTCGTTTCGTTGTAACAGAATTCCATTGGTTACTTATGTTTTTGTTAATATTAAAAAAAATGTAACAACAAATGTCTGCTGCTACTTTCAAGTTGAATTGTACGCGGTTACACAAATTTCTACCGTATGATTTAGAATAGAACCCTCAGGGAAAGTAATGCGCGTGCGTGCTTGGATAAGATTTGTTCGTTTTTAATCTGACCAACCCGATTTTGTGATCTCGATTACAATGTGACGTTTTTATCTAAAAGATTTTATTATTAAAACGTTATACTGACCTAAAATATTTTTTTACGTCCAATAAAAACATTATTCATTATTTTTTTCAATAGTTTGGTCAGTTTTGTTTTTTCAATAGTCATCTATTTATTTATTTGACGTGGAGATTATCATAAACGGTAAAGGAGCATGAGCGTTTAAAACATAGTTTAAGAAAGTAAACACACACATACACTTATTTTTATCATCATTATCCATTAAAGCTGTCAAAAATAATACACATTAATCAGTAGAATAGCTGGGTGCTTATTCAAAATGTCTGGGTTTTATGAATAATGTCCTATTAGTCACTCGGTTTCTGATATAATACTAGAATTGTGAAGGCCCTTACTGTATGAACCAAGAAATTCTTGATATGAAGGAAAGCGCAATATTTTAGTGTCACTGACATCTGATTTTGCTATGACAAAAGACTGTAAATCAGACCGTGAGCCGTTTAAAGTTAATGACACCCGTTATTATTCGGAAAATTCAATATAGTAGAGTTCAG